TCAGTATTTAGATGGAAATTTATGGCGCGAATAGATAACGTCCGATTTATTCATACCTCCAACTTTTGATACATTCGAAACTGATTGCTGCGATAAGGAAATATATTGTCAGAATTTCTTAGATATTTCTTGAATATAGAGCAGAAATAATCATAAATAAAAGATCAGCATTATATAGCTGGACGCTGATTAATTTATGCATGATCAAGAGATTGTATACTCTGGGAAATTGCATAGCACGTATGCGAGTTAAAAGCGATACATGTATCGGGATGTTTATGAGACGAGTTCCAACGATAAGGGTCTCCAACTTCGCTCCGAATGTCGAATAATCGGCACATAAAGCTCCGATTTAATGCTATCTTTAAGGTTCGATCGGTTATCCACGCAGGACTGTAATACCATGCTCCATTTCCGAAAGTTTGACCCTTGTTATCAAAGCTTAGAATATGTATCCACTAGAATATATTTGCTCTTCCCGACAAGATACCTATAAATTTAATAGAAAATTCTAAATAGATAGGACAGTAAAAGATAGCATAAATAATATGAGAATAAACAATGGATCTTCTCTATAACTCTAAATTGATATCATATAATGGGAGTAGATAAATGAAATTTTGCGTTGGAACTTCTATGACAGATGTTCTCGCAATTTCTCAGAGAAAATATCTTTTAAAAGTGAATATTAGACTCTCTGGTCTCTTCGTTTTGTTACTGTCTTGCGAAAGAAATTGCATTCATCGTACGGAAGAATAAGAATCCACAAAGTCTCTTCTACGCTCGTAAAGATATAAATTAAAATGCTATTAGTCACGAAACATAAAATGATTTATAGCTGAAGAAAAATTGTATATATTGTGAACTCTTTCGTTCAAGACGAAAAGAAACTCATGAGAAATTCGCCTCGGTGGAAATCACAAAACTCGGCAACTTTTATATTCGGTCTGAGCGAAAATTAGAATTTATAAACGTGGACTACTTGGCACGCGCGCGACTCAGTTCGATTTTCCCCATCACGGAAGAGGCAGAGTATAAGAAAAAAAGAAGCAAACGAGTATAATGTTATATCTATTTTTTCATATTACTGTCACGCTTTACGAGCGAACTATACAACGCGCCGAAATGCATACGCATGCAAAATCCTCTGATACACTTTCTTCGCGAAGTATCGTAAAGAGACGTAAAAAGACGCGTATCCTAGTACGCTATGTCGGATACGCGCCTTGTTCTGTATCGGAACATCGAGACACTTGAAAGGAGAGAGAAGAAGCGTTATTTGCTTCTTTTCTAGCAACAAAGTTTTCGTACTCCCAATGTATTTTTCTGTTTGGTTATATAACCCAACCCCTTACTTCAGAGCCGAATGTTTCGCGGAGATTACCTGTCAGAATACGTATTTCCCGCCGGCGAGTAAATTTCTCTTCAGGATGGGTCGCGAAGATGTTTCAATGTGGCAGGACGCTCCTCTTAGAAAGCGAGCGTATTACTCTTTGTCCTATACACATTTTTATCACTTTAATTTGTGGTTAGCAAGACAAAATCTTATCATCACATTATAAAATAAAATAAGAATATTAATGGCATAGTGAAATAAGAGAGGCAAATAAATTTTTTTTTTCGAAATTATGTTCAGTATAGTTTCTATTGTCTGTACCATTATTAATTTCACAAATTTTACTAATTATATAATATTAATTGCATAATTAGTAATTATATTAGCAAATATTGTTTTGAAAGGAATTTTTACATATATAAGCAAATAATATAAATTAATTTTCAATAAATGAAATTTATATATATATATATATATATATATATATATATAATATTATATTATTCATAAGAGGAGTATGCATATATAATTTCTAATAATGCACTTTGTTCAATTTATATATACTGAAACAGCAGAAATTCCATTTGCAAAACTATTATATAAATTTTTTTTACTTTAGCGATATCGCGTATGCGATATGCGTTTCATATACCGTTTCATAAACGAGATATATCTGCTATTAATCATATTTGCAAACATTTCCAATAAATATAATAAATACTTTAATTACACTATAATTAACATTTTATTTTATTAAATGTTATAATAACTATATATGAAAATAATGTTACTATTTGCTTGAGATTTATAATAGTTCCATTTGATTTTCTGTTTTTTATCTTTTATTTATACGTATATCTCATATTCATCTTTTATACATTTTTCATAAATAATGTAGAATTAAATAAAATATAAATCTTTTTTTAACTATATCTGAATGTCCTATACATTGCAGTGAAATATATGTATGATTTGCTACGTTTGTGTTGTACATATATATATATATATATATATATATATATATATATATAATTTGATAAAATATCCATTTTAATTATCTAATATAAACGTTTGATAAGCTTGATTTACTCATATACGTAACTACTATTTACATCATCATGATCAATGTATCCGCTTGATGATAGTGGAAATCAAATAGGATTATTTTTTACTCTCTTATTTACAGATACAGCAAGAGTATTTACAAATATTGTGCTTACAAATATTTTTGTATCTACGATTTCTAAATTTTATTATGCAAATAATAAAACATATAGAAAGAAATGCAGTTATTAAATCTACGAAATTTAATATGTCAATTATGACAAACATTTATAAAAACTTTTTTGCAATATTCTCGGCAATGAGTAATGAAAAGAAAATATTTAAAATTATCTCATATATTTTTCCATGAATAAAAACATATTTTATATGATAAGATTGCTTTATTTATATAATGTTATTTTATTTTTTAATTTTTTTATCCATGTATATAATTGATAATATAAATGTTATTAGCTAATAAAATTATCGATTATTTTAATGATAAAGTATAAAGTATAAAAATAGCGATATAAATATTAATATAAAGCACATACGAGTATATGATAATTGAATATGTATAAAACGTTTTTTCTTAAATTTTATTCAATGATATTATACGTTATTATTATGGTTGCAAATTATCGAAGCATTTAGGCGTGCTGTAATTGCATTAGAGATTTCCTGGAGAGTTTTAAAAATAAAATGGCTTATCACATCAAATAAAACTGTTATTCATTTCATTTAAGATTATGACAAGGAGCATACATGAAAGAAATTTTACCGATTAAATGATAAGCATGCAAAATTATTAATGGATATGTGACTGAAGGGAAAAGCGTTAGAGTGGCTATATTCGAAGCCCGAGTTTCTTGAAATATCAGTGAAGGCGTTACTTTGTGAACTTAAGAGCATGTTTGATCATGCAGGATGAGGCTACGTAAGGACTTCGAAAAGCGCGAATGGAAGAAAGACGAAATATATATATATATATCCGTTAGAGACTATTTTTTAACACAGTTAACAAAAATAGTTTCTTCCCAGACAGTACAAAAAGGCCAAAAGATGTCTTAAAGATGTCTAGAGAACTTTAAGACGTCTTTAAGTCGTTTTTTAGATGTCTTTTGGACATGTGTACTGTCTGGATGCATAATTAATGCACTTGAAATATAATGACTCGAAGTCTTACATAAATATAATTATCGAAATACGATAAAATTATCATATCGACACAATTCAAAAAATAGAATATTTTATATGCATATAATATTTTTACATATAAATAATATTAATACATTAATATCTATCATCCTAATACAGTTTTTTAAATAACAAATTTATTCAAATAATTTTTAAATAACTTGAATTATCTTATACAAGTTATTTATGTATCTATAATGTGTGTATGTGTGTATGAAGCGCTACATTATAATCGTCGCAATGCAATTTTATATTTAATATTTTTTCTTAAATTGATAATAAAAATAATTCAAAAAATTAACTTTTAAATAAATAAGAATTAAATCAAATTGCATTAAATTGCATAGTGCATAAGTACATATTACTTCAAAAACATTGTTGTATCAATTATACTTGTGTAATACATATACAGGGTGACCCATTTTAACTTAGGCAGCCAAATAACTCGAAAAATAAGCACACTACGAAAAAATGGTTAGAATCAAAATTTCGTCATTTCGAGGGGGACGTACAATGACGTTAAAATCAGCCCCCCCACCCCTCCCCCTGGGCGGTGAGGGGGGGCAAGTTTGAAATCTTAAATGGAACCCCCTATTTTTCATTGCATATTCTTGTAGCTTATCTCGAGAGCTTTCCAAAACACTATAATTAAGTACCTTTTTATTAAGTACTTTTTGAGTTATAAGGCTTGAAATAATTTCTTAATTTTACATAAATCATAAAATATCTAGTAAACCATTCATTTTTCGATTATCTTACCTTCATACTTTTATGTACAAAATAATGAGAGGAATCAATTAGTGTAAAGAAAACATACAGTTGTTTTTAAGAAAAAATATGGAATTGTTAATTGCAAATTACATATTTTTTCTTAGAAACAACTATGTGTTTTCTTTACACCAATTGATTCCTCTCATTATTTTGTACATAAAAGTATGAAGGTAAGATAATCGAAAAATGAATAGTTTACTAAATATTTTATGATTTATGTAAAATTAAGAAATTATTTCAAGCCTTATAACTCAAAAAGTACTTAATAAAAAGGTACTTAATTATAGTGTTTTGGAAAGCTCTCGAGATAAGCTACAAGAATATGCAATGAAAAATGGGGGGTTCCATTTAAGATTTCAAACTTGCCCCCCCTCACCGCCCAGGGGGAGGGGTGGGGGGGGCTGATTTTAACGTCATTGTACGTCCCCCTCGAAATGACGAAATTTTGATTCTAACCATTTTTTCGTAGTGTGCTTATTTTTCGAGTTATTTGGCTGCCTAAGTTAAAATGGGTCACTCTGTATAAATAAATATGATATGTTAAGCACGGAGGAAAAAGATCGTGATAGCATTGAGTAAATGATTGTTATCTTATATAGGTCAATGTATATAAGTGATAATATATTCAACTGCCATGCTCACTGCTCATCAGTCAGTCGTCTTCACAATGGCGCACTATTTGTTTCTAGTAGTTGCTGTCAATTTTATTTTTAGTATTACATATGTCTTTGCTAATAATACGTTATCTTTTCCCAAGGACTTTTTATTAGGCGCTTCTACGGCCGCTTATCAAATAGAAGGAGGATGGAACGAAAGTGGTAAGTAGATAATATGTTTGACATTTAATTAATTCATTTAATTAATTTTAATTCCAACGTTAAAATGCTAATTAAGGTCTTAAATATATGGATACATAAAATATGTGACATCTGTTCTCTCATCAGATTTCTAATTATCATAATGCATTTAAATTGAAAAGGTAAGAGTGAAAATATTTGGGATCGATGGTTACACGAAAACCCAAGTGTTGTACGTGATGGTAGTAATGGCGACATAGCTTGCGATTCTCTTCACAAATATAAAGAGGATATAAAGATATTACATGATTTAGGAGTACGTCTTGCATAAATACAAAACATATATATCTTACTATAGAGGCTTTAATTACAACATAAAATAATCGAACATTAAAATACAAATATTTTAGGTTGATTTTTATAGATTTTCTGTCAGTTGGACACGTATTTTACCGAATGGCTACGCTAACGTAATTAATCAAGAAGGACTTAATTATTACAAAAATCTCATTAACGAATTGTTAGCAAAAGGTATCGAACCATTTGTCACTTTATATCATTGGGATCATCCAGAAATATTGGAACAGATGGGTGGATGGACCAACGAAATGATAGTTGAATGGATATCCGATTATGCAAGAGTTATTTTCAAAGAACTTGGCCCAAAAGTTAAATATTTTGCAACTATTAATGAACCATTGGTCCTTTGCAGTGAAGGTTACGGAGGAAACACGGCAGCACCAGGTATATGTTGCATGTATCTATTCATCCTTTAGCAAAAAACTTATATTATCTTTAGCAAAATCATATATTTCAGATATATTAAAACAAAATATACTTTTTAGGAAAGAATTTAGGTAGTCCTGCCACATTCCTATGTATGCATAACATTCTGAAAGCACATGCCAAGATTTATCATATTTACGACGAAGAATTTCGAAAAGATCAAAACGGCAAAATTGGATTAGTTATACCTTGTTCAGGTTTATTACCCAAAAATCTTAATGATACATCAGCAATAGATACGCAATTTCAATTTGACTGTGCATGGACAGCTCATGCAATTTTTTCGAAGACTGGCGATTATCCAGAAATCATGAAAAATCATGTAGCTGAAAACAGTAAATTAGCTGGTTTTCCGAGATCCCTTTTACCGACATTTTCACCAGAATGGGTGCAATATATTAAGTAAGAAATCTATAAGATATCGAACATGTGCAATCTATTAGTAGGTTTTTAAATAATTATCTATTAATGTGAGCAGATAAAATAGATACCTATAATTATGACATATAATTATGATGATTTTTGAATATGCACATATTTATGCAATTCTTTTTTCATTTTTCTTTATCTCATGAAGTATTGAAAATTAAACATTTACTTTTTTCTAATTTTTTTTCTTATAGAATATATATATATATATATATATATATATATATATATGTATTATTGTGTGTGTGTGTATGTGTGTTATTAAGAAATTATATTCATTTACTTTAAGAAATAATATTTGATAAATTTTATATTATTTAAATATTTAGGAATGAAAAAATTAATTATGTTACTACGATAAAATTAACTTAGTAACTTACTAGTAACTAGTTAATAATAATGTAATATCCTATTGTTTCCTTTAATTCATATTATTTTGTTTGTCTTTTTAAGGGGCGCGTCAGATTTTTTCGGATTGAATCATTATACTTCAAGGCTTGTGGAAACAGTGCCACGAGTGGAAGGGCAAGAATGGTATGCTTATTCTGGTGTGAAAGAAAGTATAGATCCATCATGGCCAAAAAGCGCTTCAGATTGGCTCAGGGTTAGCGTAAAAAATGCATATTAATTACATATATCAAATTAGCAGATATTAATTTTCATGAGTTCAAAATTTTTATTTATATATTAGAACTCATTCAAAATTTATTAATTTGATCCGAATAATACATCAAACACAATTAAGATATATAAATAATTTATTATGAATATATAATTCGTTTTATGAATAATTCATAGATTCTATTCATACGCCACAAATTGGAAATCAAAATCGAGTGCCTTTTAGAAAATATGTATATTTCGATAATTCGGCTGAATCGAATATAAGGGGCGATTAAGATTGATTAGAAAAGGACGAATAATCGACTTTTTGAATACATTATTGCATTACGAGACAACAAATGCTTTTAATTTAATTGATTATACCGGCATATATATCATTTTTTTGTGTATAACAAGATTACATCAATTAGCAAGACAGTTTTCTCGATTATATCTATAAATAATATATAAACATACTGTATTTATATGTAAGTATGTCTACATATAAAAATATATTTTAGGTCGTTCCTGATGGATTTCGACAAATTCTTAATAAAATTAGAAAAGAATATGATAACCCACTTCTTTACGTTATGGAGAACGGCGTCTCTGATAAATGTTGCAATATTTTTGATAATTCAAGAATATCCTATTTGCATTCCTATATGCAAGCTATGTTGTTAGCTATTTATGAAGATGGATGTAATGTGAAAGGCTACGCTGTTTGGAGTATCTTAGACAACTTTGAATGGTTGGCTGGTTACACGTAAGTTATTATTATTTATCACAGATTCATGAATTTCTTTAAAATTAGACGACAGAAAACATATTAATTATATATTATTTACATATTAATTATAATTTACATATCTATTTTAATTAAAATATAATCATATACAAATTTTGTTCTGATAGAGAACGGTTTGGATTAGTAAATGTCAACTTCACGGATAGTAATCGAAAGAGAACTCCAAAATGGTCGTTTTACTGGTATAAGGATATCATTGCATCACGGAAACTTAATTCAACTACTAATTCTACAGAGTTACCAACTGTAATAGCTGTTTTATAAATAATGCATGCGCACGTATGCGTGTAAAAAAGTCATTACATTATTTATTATATAAGAAATAGTCATTATAAATACAGTTGAATAAATATTACACACACACACACACACACACACACACACACACACGTAATTTCTTTAAAATTAGACGACAGAAAATTTTACATACTAATTGTAATTTACATATCTATTTTAATTAAAATATAATCATATACGAATTTTGTTCGAATGGAGAACGATTTGAATTAACAAGTGTCAACTTCATGGAGAGTAATCGAAAGAGAACTCCAGAATGATCATTAAACTGACATAAGGATATCATTGCATCATGGAAACTATATTCTCTAATTCTACTATACACACTAATTCTATAGAGTTACCAACTGTAGAAAAATTATTACATTATTTATTATATAAGAAATAATTATTATATAATTTGAATAAATATTACACACATACACATATAACACACATATATACCCGTATGTATGTGTGCATGTACGCATGTATGTATATATGCATGTATCTATATAAGCATGCGCTTTGCATATAAAATGTAATACTTTACTGTACATATATATATATATATATATATATATATATATATATATATATACAGTGACCGGCAAAAATAAAAAGCCACTTTCCTAGTTATACTGTTTTGCTTAATGAAAGAGTAAAAATATTAAAACGATGAGATTTTCATTGATGAAAGAAGAAGTATTTATTATTTATTTTAAAATTTTATGTTACAATTACATAAATTATTTTTTACTTTTCAGTTTTATTTATATTTCTTAAATATTGCTGTTTATTATATTGACAAAATAAAAAAGCCATTCAGATTTGTACGATTTAATATATACAATATTTTGTTTGGTTGTCATGTCAACATGTTCGTGTTATTGCGCTCACTTCTCGTTGTTGTTAATCATTTTTGCAACATTGGCTTATCTCGATTATTACAAAAAACTCGCGGTCAAAAATGGGAGGAAGATCAATTTCCACACAAGTTCGAAACTTAATTGTGCGAGATATTCAAAAAGGTCTTTCCCAACGGAATATAGCCAAAAATTATGAAGTAAGTAGAGGAGCAGTAGAACAGATCAGAAGAAAATTTCAATCAACTGGATCGGTGGCAGATAGAATCGGAAGAGGTCGAAAACGAGCAACATCCAAGCGGGAGGATATGAAAATAATCCGTGAAGTTAAGAAAAATCCAAAGATTACTGTTAGAGAAATTCAGGAAAACATTTATCTTACTGTTTCTGACCGCACTGTACGTCGAAGACTCAATGAAGCAAATTTACACAGCCGGTTTGCACGTAAACGACCTTTCTTTAGCGTCACCAATAAGAAAAAACATTTGCAATTTGCTCGGAAGTATGCAAATATGTCATTGGACTTCTGGAAAAATATTTTATGGACAGATGAAAGCAAATTCGAGTTATTTGGACAAAAGAAGCGGATTAGAGTCTGGAGAAAACACGGCGAAGAGCTTCAAGATTGTCATATTCAGAAAACTGTAAAGTATGGCGGAGGAAATATTTTAGTCTGGGGATGTTTCTCATGGGCAGGAGTGGGAAATCTTGTCAAAATTAACGGAATTATGACAGCAGATGTCTACATTGATATAATAAATGAAAATTTGGAGGAGTGTTTGTTGAAACTCGGACTAGAAGATAATTTCATTTTCCAACAAGATAATGACTCGAAACACACAGCAAAGAAAAGTCAAGCTTTTTTTCGTTCCTGCCGAATTAAACAACTTGAATGGCCTCCGCAATCTCCAGATTTGAACCCTATCGAAAATCTGTGGGCAATTTTGGATAATAGGATTAATAAAAGCGGAGTAACTAACAAGAATTCTTATTTTGAAGCATTACAACTAGCCTGGGAGAATTTGGATCCACAACATTTAAAAAATTTAATTGAAAGTATACCAAAAAGACTGCAAAAAGTAATTGAGGCTAAAGGAAATCATATTAATTATTAATTAAAATAATATTGTTGTTTTTTTAAATCGTAATACTATGTTACCTTAACTGGCTTTTTTATTTTGTCACTCTTAAATAAATGATTATATAGAAATAAATACAGTATTAAATAAAAAATGATTTCTTTTTAATTAAAAACATTAAATTACTTAATAAATTTTCAGTTTTAGTTATAAAAAACTTTATAATAAATTTTTTTTACCTTTTAGCATCAAATCAGTTTTATAGTTAAGGTGGCTTTTTATTTTTGCCGGTCACTGTATATATACAAATTATTATTAAAAAATACTAAAATATAGTTTTGTGTAAACTTTCTGTAATTTTTTTATAATTATAGTTTGTATTAAAATTAAAAATGCCTAGTAATAGAAATAATAGTTAAAATACTGATATTTATAATTAAAATCGCGAAAGTTTCTACATGCGAATAAAAATAACAGACATTGCGAAAATATCTATAGATACATTTTATATCTTATCAGTATGGTCATAATACAAAGTGAGAAAAAATTTTTTCTCTCTCTCTCTCTCTCTCATAAGTAATATCATTTCTAGTAAATATACGGATAGAATATCGACCTGCGATTGATTAGAGTGTAAAAAATATTGCAGCAATCATAATTTGAGAAATAAACGAAATATTGGGTTTTCAAAAAGAAGTAATCGCATGCCATTACTCTCGGGAAATATCTTTCCAAAGCATGTTTGAAGCATGTTCAAAGCAAAAACCTTAGTAAAGTAACGAGAGCGCTTTTAATGAAACGAAGTAACTCATTATAGCATATGGTTTGTTATTTTTATTCGCATAAACCTTCAATCTAATAAATTTTAGCAAAACGCGCTTAAACAATTTCTACGATAAGTGGAAATTTTAAACAAAACGAGCATTCTTAAAAATTTAATTTTTTAAATACATTTTTAATCATTTAATATCTTAATTAATAATTTATCCCAAATATATCAATACATGTCACTTAAAGTTTTAATAAATAAATGTGTTATAAATATTTATGTAAAAACGATTATTATTTAGAAAATTTCAATTTTTATATGCAAAAAATAGAATATTGTATAGTTAAATCGTTTTGCAGCGTCATAATAATTTAAAAATATTTGACAGCAAAAATTCTATAGAGAATATTAATTTTCTTCACTTGGAAATTTCTATTATAATAAAAATTAAAAATTAATACTAATTAAATTTTCTATTAATTTTGCAATTTTTATATAGACTTTATCCAGAATATCTCAAAGAAAATTGAAAATTTAATTTGCATTCTTTCTGAAAATTTAAGTAAAAAATAATGCATGCTGTAAGATTGCTCTTCGTATTTTATAATGTGAGATGGTAGCCAAACAAAATGTGTGCGCATGTGTGTCAGCAGACAGAGAGAGAGAGAGAGAGAGAGAGAGAGAGAGAGAGAGAGAGAGAGAGAGAGAGAGAGAGAGAGAGAGAGAGAGAGAAAGAGAAAGAGAGAGATAGTGGGGGAGGGAGGGAGAAGCAGAGCATATATATTAGGATCATGTTATATAATTTAAGAAAGAATAATAGTCTATCTCCGTTTAATCTGTCGGGTTTACTTTTTCACCCTGGATAGATCGAATTGCCAGTAGATGAGATAAGGCGTTAAACAGAAGGGTGTAGACCGGGTCGGTGAGGGCGATACCGCGAATGCTCCGCTGCCTATCTCGTTTATACAGCTTTCTATGCATACCGCCGTCTAATAAAAGAAGAAGGAGGGACGGAAATAACAGATCGCGCTTCGGCAAGCAGAATCTCCTGTAATTACACCAGGAGCGCTATTATATGTGTACTCGTATCACGTTCGTCGATGCTCCACAGAATGTATGTACTTTACTAACGAAACGAGCAAACGCGACACGTAAGCAATGAATCTTCAAGATTTGTAGCGGCGAGTAACTCGGTATATTATAAAAATAAAAGATTACAAAGCCAATTATCTAGACTTTAAATAAATATTAATTAAATATTAATTAAAATATTAATTAAATATTAATTATGTTTACCATAGTGCAATAGTATCGATCGTAATACAATGCAGACCGGGTACAATAGTATCGATCTCAATATCACATATGGTTAATGTCGACATCAATGCAGGTGTATGTATATCATTACCAGTTATTATCGATTCTATTCGTCAGCATTCCCAGCTTTCCCATCTTTGATCGCTCAATATCGAATTCGCGGGTGTTAATTGTACTCGCGCGATGTGTATACTGCATCATCCCTATATACGCAATAATTTACGCATAATTGGTATAATTTGGATAACTCGTGGCGTATGAAATTATACTGCGTAAACACGTGCAAACCTATCTGCGCGTGCATAGTCCGTAACTCGATAATTATGTATTCGTACACATTAAACGGACCGCGCGAGCAGACTCGACAGTTTCGACGAAGTATTAAGAGGTGTCTAGACAGGAATATGCATACCGCGCCGCAACAACTCGGGCTGCTTGAAGATCGTTTACATTCTAATGTAAATATTGTACGTGCACAATATATGCATGTAGACCGAAAATCCGTGTCCCGGAATCCCATGGGTGAGATTAGCTGTGCGCCATGAGGAGAGCAGAACAAATTTAGGGTAGCGGAATGAGGCGGAGCCGATTTCAACGATTAATTTTATTGGCCTCTTTACAAAATAAGTAATCAAATGATACACGACTCTTCGAATATTTGATAAATAAAAGAAAAGTTTTGAAGATAAGTAAAACTCGTAGAATTTTTCTCATGTTCGCAAATTGAATTTTTTATCTTGAAAATGAAGAAATGCAATGTCTTTGACAGCTTTTAAATAAATCAGGTTTATAAGTGAACCATTTCGCGCTGGATGAGTTTATCTGGTTTACCTGGTTTAAATCATTAGAATCTGATGAGTACGTGATTGTCAAGAAATATTAAACGTCATAAAAGAAGCAGCAAAAATACAAACAAAAAATACTAAGCTTCTTTTTAAAAAGTTACAAAAAATATTACAAGAATAGCCATTTTGCGAATCGCTGATGTATTATCGTGGAAACAATCGATTTTAACTTGAAGTTTAATTCTAAAGTAATACTTGTCGAAACACTTTCCATTTCT